CGCGCGGGGGTGGGGCTTGGCGCGGGGCCAGACCATTACTCTACTGTTAAGGTGGCCCGGCTCTACGCGCTGCGGCTGTTTCCTGGTGTGTCTTAAGGGGGAATGGCGAGAGGAAAGGGAGGAATCCACTGCTCTTTCGGCTTTCCACCCGCACTTGCTCTTATTTAAAGGGAAAGTAGAGAAGGGGTGTGGGCTGGGGAGGGGTGGAGGTGGGAAGTGGATGTGGGTGGCGGTGTTCAACCGTTGCTGCGTGGTAAGGAAATAAAGGAAGCGCCTGCAGGCTGTTGGCTTCCTTCGTCTCCTACCGGCCTCGCCGTCTCTTACACGCGGGACCCAGAAGCCCAAGGTGTCTGTGGACCCCGTGCCACCCGCTCACCCTCCCACCCCGTCTCAACACGAGGCTTTTGGAAGGCCGGCTTGCTTTGGAGGTTCACACGCCTAAGCCTCCTCTCCTGCATCTCAAACACGGATCACATTTGGCTCCCTCTGTCCCTGGGCCCCAGAGGCACATCCACAGTGCTCGGGATGGCTGCTTGGCGGCCGAGGGGCGCGGGGGTGGGGGGGATTGAAGAAAACCTGCGCAGCCACGGTACCATTTCTTACCATTTCTAACCCTCGGGCAGTCTGGAAAGGCATTTGTTAGGACCCTCATTTCACAGCTGAGGAAACTGGATTGAGTGTCTCTTCCAAGGTTGCATGTCTGGTGATGACCCAGCCAGGATCCAAAGCCAGGTCGGACTGACTCCGGAGCCCACGTACTTGTCTGCCCTGTATCGCACTGTAGCACGCATTTCCACTTTAATCTGTACACACTCAGACACGCATGCACACTTGTACACAGCCTGTAAACTGTTAATGACACCCCCGCACCTCCACACCCACGAGAGCACTGCAACAGTGCCAGCCATAGATTTTGCATAGAACCTTATGGCTTTCAAGTCCAAACACGCACCATCAGCTGGCGCACACAACAGCTCTTCATTGACTGATGCTTTCCCACACCTACCTCGGCAAACACACTCATATTTATATGCTCACGGAAGGCAGGCTAACTCACAGGTTATTGTGAGGAAGGTAGCTGCCACAACTTCCCGATGTTTTTAACAGGGCTTTGAAAAAGGCCTCTTTGATCTTGTGGTCCTATCTCAACCCCTCCCACCACATGCGTCCTCCCAGATGCACAGCCCCATGTGCTTGGACAGAAACAGCTGTGCAGGAAGCCGGAGACCCTTCTCAAACTCCTGTCATTTGGGGCTTTTTTTCTCTCCATTTCCTGTCCTACTGTTTCTCAGTAACTCAGTCTGCATCCTATTTCTGAGCTGGGGAAAGTTCATCAGTCGAAAGCAACTCTTTTGGACTAGCTGGGCTGTGCTCAGAGTTCTCTCCTGATGCCAGAGACTGCCTGAACCATCTATCTGGAGAGTGGACTGTAGAATGAGCTCCTGTCTCACCTGAGTCCTTGTCTATGCTGCTTCCTCTTGTCCCACTGAAGGCAGGTTGCAGGGACGAGGGGATGTTTTAGAGTCCCTCTCCATGACAACCACCCACCATTTCCAATGCAGTCTTTTCTTCCTGGTGTTGGAGATCTCAACCTCGGAGCGCCTAGAAGACACAGAAAGTGACACTTATTCTCATTTGCTCCCCCACCCTGACGTTGCCCCTCTGGTCCCTCTTACCTCCCCAAGGCATTTCATTGGGAGATCCAAGTGGCCCTGTGTTATATTTTGATAAGTAGCCGGGTGTGGTGGCGCATGCCTGTCATCCCAGGAGGATCGCTGTGAGTTCGAGACCAGCCTGGGCTACACAGTGAGTTCCAGGTCAGTCTCAACTACATAGTGAGACCCTGTCTCAAAAAACAAAACAAAACAAAATTTTTTTTTGATAAGTCCTCCAAAATGTCAACTTCAGGAGCCCAAATCAGTTGTTGAGGGAGACATGGGAAAGGCAAGGAGCAGAATCCATTGAACATCACTGCAGAATTAGAGGCCTGTCACGCTCCCCGCTGGATGGCAACCACTTGACATTCTAACGCCCAATGAGTGTCAGTTGCATCTTTCTCCTGAGAAGCCTGTCTCCGAATTGGCTCTTTGAATGTATATTTAAACCTATCTGTGGGGCTATGTGTGTAGGAATTGCCTACCTGCTCTGTAACTTGTCTGGGAGTAAGTTTAAACCAGATGTGTGAGCCTGTTAAAGGAGAAGTCTACCTTGGCTACCTGAGCCAGAGCCTGGGAAACAGTGTCCAATAGGAGCCAGTTATGAGCTGAAAAGCAAGATCCTCAGCTCGGGCTTCCTGGGCTTCTGGGGACAGAGTCCATAAGGGAGGCTCTGGATGCCAGCTCTGACTGCCGTCCCACCTCCGGCTGGCTGGGATTCACGGGCACACCAGGAGTTTGACTTCTGTGGGCACCTCGGGTCTTCCCTTCTCTCTGAGCAGTGCTCTCCCTTGGCTACGGATTGACGGAGGAGCCCCCTGCCCCCTCCATTCCCAGTCCCAGCCCCTGTGGACAGGAGAGAAGGGTGGCAGAGGTGACCCAAGGTGACCCCAGAGAGGGCTGTAGCAGGCCATGGCAGCCTGTTTTCTGGAAACCTAGCACCCTCAGTGCCTTGTTTCTTCCAGCAGCAGTTTTGAGGTCTAGAATGAGTAAAAATAAATCTACCCATAAAAATAACCACTGGATGTGGGAAAGTGGAGTTGCCCCTCTGGGGCAAGAGGGAGGGCACTGCCCCTGGAAATTCAGTCAGGCTGTTCTTATCCAGCTGGGGGGAATGCAGCCAGTGCTGCTGCTCTGCCTTTGAGCCTCCCCTCAGGCTCAAAGGCTCCTTATGGGTTCCCTGCTCTGCCCTTAAACCTGGACAGCACCCTCCCTATTTGAATATCTACTGCTAAGCCTTGACTAGAATGGCAACCATCCTCCCTGTGCTTAGACCCAGGGCTTCTTTTTTGTTTGTTTTTTGTTTTCTGAGACAGGGTCTCACTGTGTAGTTCACACTGCCCTGAACCCACTGTGTGGCCCAGGCTGGTCTCAAACTCACAGCGATCCTCCTGCCTCAGCCTCCTGAGTGCTGGGAGTACAGGTGTGCACCACCCCGCCTGGAGAGGGCTTCTTTAAAGTGCTCTTCCTCTTCACTATGAAGATGGGAACTATCATTTTATTAGAGGTCCCGCCCTCACCTGACTCACACCAAGCCAATTACATCCTTTCCTGAGATTTTCGAGCTTAAAGTCAAAGACTGAACGAGGCTGACATCTGGCAGTGAATACAGTGACCTGAGAAGCTCTGGAAGAGTTAGGGGCCAAGTGTGCTGGCCAATTAGAAAGCAGAATGGTCACAGGCAGAGAGAGGCAGAGAGAAGAGCTAACAAGGGAGTGCTGGCCTGAACGCATCTGAGTCCCTGGCCTTTCCAGGTGAGTCATGTGATTCCGGCATGCACATACTCGGTGGAAGTGGGTGTTTTGGTCACTTGTACTGATACAGAAATGTAATGGAGAAAGCAATTTAAACACCACTGAAAGCCTATA